TTTATGATTAGTGTTACTTCATGTTAATTGGGTGATTATTGAGAAAATTATGAATTTTTTTATATTGTATATTGTGCAATATTATTATGAATTTGTTTGATTATTGTGGGAGGTGTTGGGAGACTTGCTATTATTGTTGTATTTATGTGCCATGTGGTACGCCCCTATTGGAGCTCAATAGGTGGCTTATAAGGGCTCGGGCTAATCTACCTTTGGCCGGGTAATTTAGTACCGAGTGAGGGCTACGGCTCGAGGTTAATGGAGGGATATAAGGATGGTTGTTTGTGTGTATTGTAATATTTCTTATATTTGTTGGAATTATATTATTTTTAATTCTCACTTAGTAAGCACACACTTAACTATTTGTATACACTATCATAAATTGGCTTTGGTTACTGGGACTTTTGAGTCTCATTATGTGGTTAACAATTTTTAGGAGAAGAGCCACGAGTGACACGTGGAGGAGTCCCAGAGGCTTAGTAGTATAGATCCACTGTCTCTTTTGGGTATTTAATTTATGATTTATAATGTGTTATATTGCCAATATTAGAGCTTTTTGTTTATTGTCAATTATATGAATATATAAATGTAATCATGCCTTTCAAACTATTTCTATTTTTGGTACAATTTGGATGACTGTAATTTTAATATTTGGTTTACTTTGGATTAGTTAAAATGGCATGATTATAAGGCCAAATAACTGGCTTGTGTTGAAAATTGACTAAATTGCTTATTTTACTTATTGGGAGTATAAGGATGGACAAATGTGATTTAGTTTACTTATTGGGAGTATAAGGATGGACAAATGTGATTTAGCCTAATGGCATGTGGGAGGTAAAAATTTATCTGAAATGTTATAGTGTGTGAGTTGAAGCCAATTATAAAATATTTTATATTGAAATTATTGATATAAAAATGTGTTGGGTGGCTGTAACCCAACTATGGTTGAGTTAAATTATTTAAAAAAAAATTTTTTTGGTGTGTTACATATGGGACCTTAACCTATTAAACCTCTCCAACTACCTTTCCCAGCTTGGTATGATCCGAACACAACATGTGAATACCACATGGGGGTGGCTGGCCACTCTATTGACAAATGTGATGCTTTCAGAAGACATGTGCTTCTTCTGTTAGATAACAATCATATTGGGATCAAGACAGGTAGCAATCCTAATATCACCACCAATCCCCTACCTGAGCATGAGAAAGGAAAGCCAGTTGCCATGATAGATAATGACATTAGCCTCTCAAAAGCAGTAGAGGACATTCCTTGCACCATGAAGCAGCTGTATGAGCACTTAAGAGAATTGGGCTACATCCAGCAAAGATTTGGGAGTAATGAAAGAACTTCTCGAGCTATGTTTGATTTTTGTGAATATCACTAAGAGGTTATAGGTCATGATATTGAAAAATATATTCCTTTCAAAGAGTTAGCTCAAAAAATGATGATATTAGGGATTGTGGTCATTGACAAAAAAAATACGAGAAATGTATGTGCATTAGATGGGAAGGTTACATATTTTGTAATCAATAAGGAGTTGCAAGCTACAGAAGGAGAAAATTCATCCTTTTCGATAAATAAGCCAATTTATGAAGTGAAGGAATCAGCAGAAAAATCCTTTTTGCTTATTGGCAAAACATCTCATAATGTCAGTAACAAGAAACCTATTGCTCTCCTTCACGTACCAGCACCATTCCTATATCATAGCAATCATGCTGTACCCTGGAATTATGGCTTAAGAATTGAAGGCCCTCACGATTAAGGGATACTAAACAAAGCTAGTAATGTTGACATTACTGTTGGTGGAATTACACGAAGTAGTCGAATTTACACCGACGAAACCTATACGCTAGGGGGTAAGGGTTTAAAAGTTGGAGAAAGCTCAGGCATTAAAGAATTTACCATGAAAGGCAAAGAAGAAGGGACCGATGAATTTTTAAAGATTATGAAACAAAGCGAATATAACATTATAGAACAATTGAATAAGACCCCAACACGAATTTCAATATTGTCCCTCATTTTCAGTTTTGAAGTACATTGAAAGGCTTTACAAAAGGTTCTAAATGAAGCTTATGTGTCCCCAAACATACTCCTAAGAAAGTGGTTAATCTAGTTAATGCTATGAAAAACTCTACATTGATTGCATTCTCCGAAGATGATATCTTCCCGATAGCTTCTCAACGCCCAAAGGCACTCCACATTACTTTAAAGTGCCATGGTTATGTAATAGCCAAGGTATTGATTGATGGGGGTTCTGCCTTAAATGTCTTACCTTGATCTACCATGGAACTTTTACCTGTTGATGCATCTTGTATGAAACATAGCGACATGGTAGTTAGGGCATTTGATGGGATAAGATGAGAAGTTGTAGGCAATGTCTACCTCCCATTGCAAATTGGACCAAGTACTTTCGTGGTAGAATTTCAAGTTATGGACATCGATGCTGCATATACCATGTTACTTGGTAGACCCTGGATTCATGATGCTGGGGCTATACCCTCGACTCTACACCAAAGACTCAAATACATTAATGATGGAAGACTTATTACCATAAGAGGAGAAGAAGAACTAATAATTAGTAAGCTAAGTGCGGTGCCTTCTATTGAGAATACTGAGCAATCATTTAAAAGTGCATATCAAAACTTTGAGTTTGTTGAGATTGACCAGTCAAGTAAGGAGGTGAATCAAATCATGGCTAAGATCATGAAGAACCATAGATTTAAATCGGGAAAAAGATTGGGAACAAAGTTGCAAGGGATAAAAGAACCAATAGTACTCCCAGAAAACCCAAAATGTCAAGGTCTAGGATATGAGCCTTCTTTAGAAGCATCAATGACAAGGCAAATGAAGTTGAAGAAAGGAAGGAAGCAAGATAAGCAAGAAATCCCACATATTCGTGAAACGTTTCCATCACCTACAAAGATAATCAATCTAAATGGTTTTATAGCTATGATGAGTGAAGAATACAAAGGAAGTATGGATACAGCCAGACGCACTAGTAAAAGAGTTGGGCAACTGGGAATCTAAGGAGATTGTTGATGTTATGTCACTAAAGTAATATTTCAATGTGTTGTTTCACTTTTTAGGTTAATTTGTGTACTCTTAAACTTTATTTAAATAATGAATGCAATATTTTGTTTCTTTGTTTTCTCTCTTCACTCTCCCCATTATTTCATTCATTATCCACTCTTTCTCTCTCCATCCATAGTATTTTTCTCATATTCTTATTTTCACCTTATACGCATAAATACTCATTCACCTTGCACGATAATTTTCCAAGGAATTAGAATTCTCGAAACTCCTGTCTAATTCATTAGTTCCTGAGCATAGTTTGCATGAACCATGTTTCACTATGGATACATATGATTATGAAACTGATTAAGATGAAGAAATGCCCCTAATCTTTGCAAAAATGATAGAATCTTCCGAACGAGGCATCATGCCACACAAGGAGTCGATTGAAATTGTAAATTTAGGGACGGAGGAAGATAAAAAGGAGTTAAAAATTGTTGATAATCTAGAGAAAGAAGAGATGATTAGTTTGTTTCGAGAGTACCTTGATGTGTTTGCATGGTCATACTTGGATATGCCAGGGATTGATTCAAAGATTGCTGCTCATAGGCTACCTTTACATCCTGATAGTAAACCTAAGAAGCAAAAATTGTTAAGAATAAGCCCTGATATGTCACTTAAAATTAGAGAAGAAGTAAAGAAACAATAGGAAGCCGAATTCTTAAAAGTAGTCAAATATCCACAATGGGTTGCAAACATTGTTCCAGTACCAAAAAAGGATGGATGAGTTAGAATGTGTGTGGATTATAGGGACTTGAATCGTGCTAGCCCTAAGGATGACTTTCCTTTACCCCATATTGATGTGCTTGTAGATAATACAGCACACAGTTATAGGTATTCCTTTATAGATGGTTATTCAGGGTACAACCAGATTCCTATGCATATGGAGGACAAACATAAAACTACTTTAATTACACCTTGGGGTACCTTTTGTTATAAGGTGATGCCCTTTGGATTAAAGAATGCAGGTGCAACTTATCAGCGAGCCATGGTAGCACTGTTTCATGACATGATGCATAAGGAGATTGAGGTGTATATGGATGACATTGTAGCTAAGTCTGCTGAAGATGAAAGCCATGTAGTTGTTCTTCAAAAATTGTTTGAACGCTTGCGTAAATACAAGCTTAGGTTAAACCTTAATAAATGCATATTTTGAGCCTTATCGGGAAAATTATTAGGTTTTATTATCAGTAATAAAGGCATAGAGGTAGATCCTAACAAGGTCAAAGCAATTCATGACATGAGGCCACCACAAACAAAGAAAGAGGTTCGTAATTTTTTAGGGCACCTGAATTATATATCCAGATTCATAGCCAATCTAACTGCTACTTGTGAGCCACTTTTTAAATTATTATGAAAAAGTCATACTGACACGTGGGATGAACATTGTCAACAAGCTTTTGACAAGATTAAGGATTATTTATTAAACCCTCCACTATTAGTACCTCCAACACCTGGTCGGCCTTTGATTCTTTACTTAACTATAAGACCTACATCTATAGGTGAAATGCTGGGACAACTTGATGAAGCCGGTAAAAAGGAAAAGGCATTTTATTATTTGAGCAAAAAATTCACTGATTGTGAATCACGCTATTCACTAATTGAAAAGACATGTTGTGGTTTGGTATGGGTTACTCGACGACTAAGGTAATACATGTTGTATTATACCACATGGTTGATTTCATGAATGGATCCAATAAAATATATTTTTGAGAGTCTTCACGTGTGAGGTCGAGTTTCTAGGTGGCAGGTGATACTCTCGGAATATGATGTGAAATACATGACTCATAAGTCAATTAAAGGAAATATCATTGCAAATTATTTGGCAACAAATCCAATGGAGGAATACCAACCTATAAGTTTTCAATTCCCAGGCGAGGATGTTCTTGTGGCAGAAGAGGAAGAACGAGGGGAAGAGAAATGAAAGATGTATTTTGATGGGGCAGCGAACATTTACGGAAATGGATTAGGAGCAGTGTTGACATCCCCAGAAGGCAGACAATTCCCATTAACTATCAAATTAGGTTTTGACTGCACCAACAATATGGCTGAGTATGAAGCATGTTTAAATGGCTTACAAGTTGCCGTGACATTAGGCATTAAGGAACTTGATGTTTTTGGAGATTTCGCTCTTGTTATTTATCAAGCAACCGGCGAGTGGCAAACTAAGGATTCCAAGTTAATCCCATATCAAAAATATCTCACCCAGTTGATTAATAAATTCGACAAGGTGAGATTCCACCACTTATCTCGTGATAAGAATCAATTCGCAGATGCTTTAGCGACACTAGCTATCATGGTTAAGTTGGATTGTGGAATTCACGTTCAACCAATTAGGATTGAGACTAAAATTAATCTTGCATATTGCTTGAATGTTGAAAATGAAATGAAGATACATCCATGGTTCCATGATATAAAAATTTATGTAAAAAGCAGAGAATACCCTTTGGAAGCAATGGAAAATGACAAGAAGACTATCCGACGTATGGCAATGAATTTCTTCCTTAGTGGGGATGTACTGTATAAAAGAACTTTTGATGGTATACTACTTTGGTGTGTTGACTCAGGGGATGCACGAAAAATTTTAGAGGAGGTTCATGAAGGAATATGTGGAACTCATGCTAATGGCCATACTATGGCCAAACAATTTCAGAGACATGGTTACTTTTGGCTAACTATAGAAAGAGATTGCATTGAAGATGTCAAAAAGTGTCATAAATGCCAAGTTTATGCTAATCGAGTACATGCCCCACCTCAACCGCTTCATAATCTTGTGACCCCTTAGCCTTTCTCTTTATGGGGACTTGATGTTATCGGTCCAATCAATCCTAAGGCCTCACATGGGCACCATTTCATCCTTGTAGCTATCGATTATTTTGCAAAGTGGATAAAGGTTGCCTCTTTTGCTAGCATTACCCAGAAGGCTTTTCTTAGGTTTCTAAAAATAAACATTATTTGTAGATATGGCCTACTAAAAAGGATTATTACGGATAATGCACCTAATTTGAATGGGATTGAAGTTCAAAAGTTGTGTGAACAATTCAAGATTAAACACCATAACTCAGCACCTTATCGACCTCAAATAAATAGGGCGGTTGAGGCAGCCAATAAAAATATTAAGATCATTGGAAAGATGACAATTACATATAAGGATTGGCATGAGATGCTTCCCTATACTCTTTATAGGTATCGCATGACTATGCGTGTGTCAACTAAGGCAATACCCTACTCGTTGGTATATGGCATGGAGGCTGTGACTCCAATTGAAGTAGAGATACCCTCATTAAGGGTAGTCATAGAATCTGTGATAGAAGAAGATGAATGGATTAAAACTCAATTTGAACAATTGAACATGATAGAAGAGAAGCGATTAGTAACCATATGTCATGGACAATTATACCAAAGGAGGATGGCAAAAACTTTTAATAATAAGCTGCGTCTAAGAGAATTTAAGCCAGGGGACCTAGTCTTGAAAAAAATCCTCCTGAATCAGGAAGATTGCCGAGGTAAATGGGCTCCTTCATACGAAGGCCCTTATATTGTGAAGCAAGCCTTTTCAGGAGGTACCCTTATTTTGGTAGATATGGAAGGCCAAGAATTGTCAAAACCTATAAACTCAGATGCTGTGAAGAGATATTTTGCTTGAGGCTAAAGTACCTGCTAGATTGAAAACCCGAAAGGGGAACCTAGGCAAAAGTTAAGGTAAAAAAAAAAGATCAAACAGAGAAGCCTGCTAGGTAGAAAACCTAAAAACGGCACCTAGGCAAAAGATAAGGCAAAAGAAGGGAAGATTTGAGCAAAAGTTATGGCCAACTGAAATGTTGATTAAGGAGTTAGAAAGGCTGGTATCTTACTAGAATGAGGTGGATAGATGCTTCATATAATCAATTCTTACAACATATATTCATAGTGACATATAAGTCTGTTGCAAATGTTGTAAAGGACCCAATGGAAAGACTTCTTTCATTCCAATCATTTTTTATTATTATTCTTTTGAGATTCCTCCTGTTAAATTCCTCTCTTTCTTGTGACTCCAAGTAGTTTATTTAGTCGGTAAACTAACTTTTCATGAAGTATAATCTTTTATATAATCCTTATTGCACTCTTTCTTGTTTGTAAAATTAGCCTTATTAGAGACACAACACTTTATATTATACTTTTTTACATGTGATACAAGACTCTCTCCCTTATTCCCACAAATTTCAACAATAAAGGTTCTATTCTTGGGATGTTAGATGAAATCAGAGGCACGTACCTTATCCGAGTTGCACTAGATTCTGTTATCCACCAATCCTATGTGTTGCCACTAAATCTTGAGAACAAGTTGGTTAAACGAAATGATTACATAAAGCAATGATATCTTCTACCTAGTGTGAGGGCATATGTTAGTACCGCTTTTATTATTGTGATTATTATTAATATTTATTTACAAGAAATGTAATAAAAATAAGTTAAAAAAATGATGAATGATGAAAGAAGGAAGTGAAAGAGAGAAGATACATAAGAAAATTATCATTACAAATAATATATTAATTTATAACTCAAAGCCTTGTAAAGACAAGCACTCACCAAAAGCCCTACATGGTTAAGCACTTCCTCACCGTTCAAAGCCCTGTAAAGACAAGCACTCACCAAAAGCCCTACATGGCTAGGCACTTCCTCACCGTTCAAAGCCCTGTAAAGACAGGCACTCACCAAAAGCCCTACATGGCTAGGCACTTCCTCACCGTTCAAAGCCCTGTAAAGACAGGCACTCACCAAAAGCCCTATATGGCTAGGCACTTCTTCACTGTTCAAAGCCTTGTAAAGACAGGCACTCACCAAAAGCCCTACATGGCTAGGCACTTCCTCACTGTTCAAAGCCCTGTAAAGACAGGCACTCACCAAAAGCCCTACATGGCTAGGCACTTCCTTACCGTTCAAAGCCCTGTAAAGACAGGCACTCACCAAAAGCCCTACATGGCTAGGCACTTCCTCACCGTTCAAAGCCCTATAAAGACAGGCACTCACCAAAAGCCCTACATGGCTAGGCACTTCCTCACCGTTCAAAGCCCTATAAAGACAGGCACTCACCAAAAGCCCTACATGGCTAGGCACTTCCTCACCGTTCAAAGCCCTGTAAAGACAGGCACTCACCAAAAGCCCTACATGGCTAGGCACTTCTTCACCGTTCAAAGCCCTGTAAAGACAGGCACTCACCAAAAGCCCTACATGGCTAGGTTCACTAAAAGTCCTACATGGCTAGGCACTTCCTTACCGTTCAGAGTCCTGTAAAGACAGGCACCCACCAAAAGCCCTACATTGATAGGCATTTCCTTACCGCTCAAAAGAAAGGTATTTTTGAGTAGATGACAAAGCATATGCTTCTTTCTTCATTCATATTTGGTCTGAGTCATGGTCATTCATTTACAGCATCTTTTTATGACAAATGATCACTTTTTGCATCGCATCACCTCATCACATTAAAAAAAAATCAAATCATGTCATTGTGTTTTTATGCAATAATCTTGCATTTAATCATATCTTGTCGTGTCAGGGGCAGCGAGGTCTTTTCATTGCATGGCCGATCAAAATACATGTTCTATCTTTACTTGTCACTTATGAAAGAATTCAAATTCTTGCAACAAAATATTTGTGTAAATTTCTGTCATCATAGGGACCCTTAATGATAACTACTCATATTTGAAATAAGGAAATTTGGAAATTTTGAGAGTTTAAGCATGGATTGAAAATATCTAAGAAAATATTTGAAGAGAAAGTAGCTTTATATCAATGTATTTATTTTCTCTAAAGAATAATGTTGCATACCTTAAATATGCTCTAACATGTGTTTATATGCTTTACAAATGTGGTTGATTTAGTTATAATACTTTTGCATGATTATTTGTATATATTCTAACATTTTGAACAAAAATTTATGGTTGAGCTAAGTGATAAGAAGATTCAAGTTTGTCTTTTAGCATGAAAGAATATTAATCAACTTAAATTTGATCTCTATTTCTTTATTTTGTGTTTAATTTTCATTTAATAATAATTGATAAATTCTTGAAGGTAATTTCAATTTTACATGATATCATTTTCATATGGAGATTTTAAATGTGTGGTTAAAAGAAAGAGTTTGTTCTTGTTATTTCACAAATACAATCAATTAAAATATTTGAATGGTATCGTGAGAGATTAGAAAATCTCCGCAGATATTCAGCATAATTGCCTCATTGTGAAGGATAATAAGTCCTCACAAATGTCATGGTCATTAACTTATAAAATAAATAAATAAATAAATTTTGTAAATAAAATTAATTTTTTTAAATAAAATTAATTAATTAAATTAATGCATTAAATCTTTTGTTCATATGAGATTTTTGAATATCCATAGACCTCTAGGATAGTCATATTACCACAAAAGTCAATAAGGCTTTATAGGTATGATGATTACAATTCTCTAAAAATATATACATGCATGCTTGAATAAATTATTACTGACATATAAATAAATTTAATTCTTTTATTGTGAGAGATTTTGAAATCTCCACAGATATTCAGAATGATTGCATTATTATATGAGCCAATAAGGCTCTATAGGAACTGCGATTAAATTCTCAATCATAAAATATAAAAAAATAATTTTAAATCCTTTTATTTTCTAAAAATTCAAAAATTGAGAAAATATCTTCATATGATTCTGCAGATTTGAGGGTGAATCCTTTCCAACTAAGAGGGAATGATGGACCCCATGGCACGGATGACATGACATTAATGGCAACGAAGCTTGAGAATGGTAATCATGAGCATGGTGACATGCAAGGAGCCCAAGGCAAGGAGCAAGGAGCCTAATACTTCCAATCCAACGTACCTAAAGACCCATTACAACATATTAGAGGTCCAATGATAACCCCAAACTAAAGCCATGAAGCAAGCCTTGTTTAGTGCAAGAAGTCCAAGAGCTTGGAGAGCATTGAGACACTCCTCTCAAGCCTAAAGGAGAGCATCTATACATGTATAATGTGCTTAAGATCCAAATCCATAAAGAGCCAAGCCCAAGAGATGCAAACCTTAGCCCAATGCAAGGAAGACTACAAGTTGAGCCTCTTGCAAGCAAGGAGGCATGAAACCCTAGTGAAGAAGTCAAGGGTGGCATGATTTTAAATCCTTTATGATCCCTTGATTGTCTCCTAAATTATTTTTTATTTTAATGGTCCTTTGATTTGATTTCCTATTTTGAGTCTAGTCAAAGATTAGAATTAATTATATTATTAATTTCTAAATTTTGTAATCCCATAATTTTAGGATTATATCTCTTAAATTATGTGGCTAAATATTTTCTCATTATTTTATATTATTTCTCCTTTTAGTATTAGGAAATTAGGGTTTTAAATTTAGGAAATAGTCTTTTTTATGAGCCTGTAAATATTAGGCATGCTCTCTCTTGTAAACAGAACAGAAGTTGAATGAAATTATTCATTTTTAGAGTTTATAACTCTTGTGAGCCTTAGTGCTTTATGGTGACTTCCTATGTAAGAAACAGACATGATCAAGAGTGTGATCAACTCTTATGGTGTCTTCAAAGGTTGAGGTTCCTAAAGGCAGGTACTCTAGAGGATCTTATGCTTGATCATTATCCAATTATTTATTTCCTTTCATTCTTTACTTTCATCATAAATTTCATCCCTTTCTTTTTGTTCTGGTGTTTTTATTATGTTTTAAGGTTCTGTCCCTAAACTAGCATGATTCTGCTTTCACGTCCCCTATCACCAGTACTTAGATATGAAAACTTGAACCTAAAGA